AAAAAAAAACATGAATAAGATAAATTCGATAAAAGTTGTTAAAGTCATTACTAGTTCAATATAAGTTTGATTGAAAAAATACAAATTATTGCGATTGCGAGTTTGAACTTGTCAGTGAAGTAATAGGAAATGGTTTATTTTCTGAATTCATATTTTTCCATCATTTTTCAGTTAGTAAATCCGATACAAATTACAAAAGTTGGAATTGAATACTTCAATTGGAAGACACGATATAACCTGAACTTCTTCGAAAGTGCGATTCAATGCCCTCTTGTTCACCACTAGCAAAGAATTTTGGTGAAATTGGTGATACAAGGGTGAATATTATAATGGCAAGGGGTGGCGTTTTCTAGTAGAAAATCACTCATGTCTAGACGTTCTGATAGAAACTCTATGTTGGCATTCAATTTGCCTTAAAATCTTCCTGTTGAAAAGAACAATTTCAAATGTATGCCTGAAATTCGGAGCAATGCAGTGAATTCGTCTATTTCTTCAATTTTCAACCTTGTCAAGAATTCTGGTGGAACTAATTTTTTCAAGATTTTTTCATTAGTAAAGAAAAAAATCAGTTATACTTACGGCTTTTATATCGTAGTCAAAAATGTTCGATAAATATGTTGGTGTCTGTGTAAGAAGGACAGAACTTCCCCAATTTGCTCCTACAAATGCGAGGGTAACAGACCAGAATGGTGGGGATAAAAGAATTGATTTCCATGGAGTCTTGTGAATCTGGAAAAGAAAAATTTTTGGAAGTTGTGCTTTCTTGTAAAGTACAGCTTTATAGTCAATTTATTTTAAAACATAATTTTATTGCACCCGAAAAATATATTTTTCACTGTCCATTATACATCCTCCTGATATTTCCATCATTTCAAGTATGAAACGATGCAACTATTCTGGAGGAATTCAAAATGGTCTGATAAACCGAACCCGGTCGTAACAAATAATTAGACAAATTATCAATTAGACAAAAGTAATTTCTTCATTCTATATTCTTTTGTTTCATTTTCATGAACTCAATTATTACAATTATGTTTAACAAATTGTTGTGGCAAGGCCTGCTCGAATATTGACACATTTTGATTCTTCATCGACTGATTTTGTCAAACTTGTTGTGTACCATAGAAACACCTACAAATTATTGGTGGAAACCCTCAAGCACGAAGTAGTGAATAATTGTCCGAATGGTAATTTCAGAATGAAAATCGATCAGTCCCACATTTTTTTCGAATATTTTTGACCGAGATTTTATAGAATTCATCCGTTACTTTTAGGAAGCACTGTATATAAAAAAGTCAGTTTAAAATATGTTTTTCCGTTAACCATCTAATACTTATTACTTTCGTTGTCGAGTTTATTGACGAACGTATGAGCAGGAGAACACCTTTTCATATTTTCATCCTCAATGTTGTTCCAGGACTGTACCTCTCCAGATCCAAAAACGATGTAGAATACATCAGCAAACAGATATAGACCTGCTGTTATGAGGAATATTATTCTCCACTGCAACTGACTGGTCTGTAAACAAATCCCTAGTTACTAAAGTTGAATTGACGAGTATTACTTATAAACAAATATAAATAGTCGGTACTATAAACGTTCATGATTATTCTTGTTCTGATAGAGTCATCAGATATAGTTCCACACAACTTTCACCAGGACTTTCGTTTTTCTTTTCCAGTATCCCAGTTGTGAATCGTTAGAGTAGTTATGAGAATTTTCAGTGCTTCTTTTTTTTTATGAAGATCCACAAGCACTTCAGGAAAATTTTCGAAAGTAGCGATCTCGTTGGATTTGTCTAAGTCAGCTGAGCACTTTGCTTGGAAGTATCTTCAGAAAACAGACAGACCCACAATCTCCCTTCGAAGTTTTAGGCTAACAAGATTGCTTTTGTGATAGTTGGGTCTCTAGTCAGACCAATGGACCTCTTCTAATAACATAGACTCTAACTGGATCTGGCTATACTTAGCAGTGGAGCTCGACTCATGAGCAAAATTACAAGAAAAGTATAATTAGAGGTCTACAATGCATCAAAAAGAGCAGACCTATATTGAACTTTCTTGTTCGAAATAGTGGTCCAAGCTTCTGGGAAGCTGTTTTCGCTATTCCAGTAACGATATTATACTAAGACTGGTACCCATTTGGACAAACAACAAACACACAACTAGCGGAACTATGTACAGTACGACTAACCAATTTTAGCGACAATAATGTTAAGTCAACTTGAGTTTCATACTTGAGAAAATATAACCGTTTAGTGCGATTGGTCTTCAACAGCTTCTCATCCAACACAAATGTATCAAAATTTTCGTGGTTAGACTTTTTGGTAATTTACTAAAAAATCAAATAAGTTTGTGTTCTAATATGTCGGTAGTGTAGAGTTCACTATGGCCGTGTGAAGATCATAATTGATTATCGTGTATAGACCCAGAAGTTCTCGAAATTCTACATTCCGGTTAGATATTAGCGCATTAACAACCTGAGCAGAGCCGTTGCTCATTGTGGAATCCTCGAATTCAGTTGCAATATAATTTTTCTTATTCACTGAAATTCATGGAGATGAAACACCTCATACAATGAAAAGAAGAAGTTACTCGACATATCCGAAACCAATCCGTGAACTTAATTCTTGTTTTTATTGTCATAAACTTTCATCGCTCTCCAGCTGAAAATGTGATGCATTATAAAAAAAATCAACATAACCATTATGTAGTTTTTCCTATCTTTTTTTTGGAATAATATACTTTCTAGTTAATGTTTGGAACTATCTCTCAATTATCATATTATTATGCTATTCGCTGTACTTACTACGTCTGTAACGATGAATTGGACAATTAATGGAGATACAATGGAAAAAACACTTGTAGAACTATTTGTGATTGCCATGAGTACTCCCGAATGGTTTGGAGATAAATCCACGTGATTGACTTGATAACTACAGAGAGCTCCAGCGGTCATTCCGCCATTGATAATCAGCAAAGCAACAGAATAACTAGCATATTTTTTCGTAAGGAACGCTACTACGGTGAGGCTGATTGCTGGAAAAATGGTACCTGAAAAAAAAAACAAAAAAAGATTATAAATGTAGGTACTTATATCTAGGTTCATAGGCTAACATGGAAAAAATGTTAACGATAAAATTTGTTTTTGACGTGATAACTTCTTATGGAAGGATAAAGTGCTTCGTTACGTAACCCGTTGCGGCGCCAGTCCGTCTGGCTTCCCTTTCTTTTCACTCCCAACACACAGCACTAACCATATCTCGGACAAACGCATGACTCAGTGTTCAGTGTACGATCGACATATTATACTTTTGACAGTGAGCATATAACCTAAAAGTATCACCGCCTTTGAACGTGATTATAAAAACTTTGATGATGAATTTCGTTCGTTTCTCTATCATAAAATTGTTTAAATAAAAAAAACACAGATTTGAATCACCTTTGTGAAATATATTCTTTTCTTTTGTTAATAGATGAGAATGGTTGGTCGTAACGACCAAATGAAATTAATTTGTACTTTTCATAGTGTTCAATATCTCTGGCAATGATTCTATGCATTACCCATAAACCCATTCTTTCAGTAAGGCCTATCATTGCTTCCATTAAAAATCTTACTGAACTGTTGGCATCTTTCTTAACAGAATATTGACAAAAGCGTACGATTATGAAAATCCATATTATACAGGGTGTTTGGTAGCTGGGTGCAAACCTTTAAGGGGGTGATACACTAGCCCATGTAGAACATATTCATACAAACATTTTTATTTTCTAGCGCGTTTTTTATTTTTCAGGGAACTTTTACGATTTTTAGTACCCAAAATTGGTCAATTAAATGCTAATAACTTCGAATCTTAACAGAAATGTCCAGTTTTTTTAATTTATTTTAGTAGTCTTATGTGTCCCCAATCGTACTAAAGTAGTTTGAAGCACCATTGTGTCCAAAAAAGTTATGTACAGAGCATTTAAACTTTACAAAAAAA